CATGGTGTGTTCCGAAAGTAATGCGAACGAAATTCCTGCGCCGCTCCTGTTGGTCGGAGGGGGGTCGGACCACTAGTGCTAGATGGGGGGGGCCTTAAGCTTTTCAACGAACCCGGTCCCCGGGCTCTCCGAGAAGTGAAATGGACAGGACATGAATTTTTGTGAACCCCTGTTTGGTGACCGTGTCACGGAAAAAGTGAAGTCGACGATCGGAACAACGATACGCGATAAAGCTTTTGTGCTAAACTAAACAAATCTCTTGAGGAGACAACTAAAATGATTCGTGAGGCTTATGGGGATTCTGTTCTGTCGTATTCACAAGTTTTGAGGTGGTTAAAAGCCTTTAAGGAAGGATGGGAAGAGGTTCACAACGATCAACGCTCTGGGCGGCCACCAACCAGCAAAACAGTCCGTCAAACAGTCCATAAAGAATTTCTTCCTGAAGGACAGACAGTTAACACCGCCTACTAAGTGAATATACTGGAAAGACTGCGAAAAAGGGTCGCCAGGACGAGAAAACACATCTCCGCTACGTAGATAGCGCTTCACGACAACGCGCTGCGAGTACGCGAGTTTCTGACTCAAAACAAGGTGTTAACGCTTCCCTAACCCCCCTATAGTCCTGACCTGGCACCGGCAGACTTTTTCTTGTTCCCCCGGATCAAGACACCCCTGAAAGGAACGCGTTTCTCGTCCGTATAAGACGACGCGTTTCTCGTCCGTACAAGACATTCAAGCGGCCGTGACCGAGGCCCTAAAAGCGGTTCCGGAAAACGCATTCCAGGAAGCGTACCGTTTATGGCAGGGTCGCTGGCAAAAATGTGCAGATGCCCAAGGGCAGTACTTTGAAGAATTTTAAGTATTTGTAAGAATTGGTACAACAGGCATCAGCAGCGCGTGGTTCCGTAAGTTGAATAACAACTCCTTGTCGCGTTTTTCTCATTAAAATGACACCAAATACGATATAATTACAATCATAATTACTTATGTTTCGGGTGATTAAAGGTTTTAACGTGAAAGAAAATGGCAAATGGAAAAGAAAGACATAGAATATTGAATCGGTCGGCAAACAAGAAAGATTCGTGCATGTTTTGTTATTTGAGTTCAAAAATCAAAATTCTTTGTTTTCTTTTTGTCGTTAATTGAACGTTGATCATCGCATTCGTCTTGTTCTTCTAATTAAAATGATACCCAACCTTATATAATTAAGATCATAATTATTTGTGTAGCAAGTCATGTTAGGATGAATTCGTATCTCTACAGTAAATGTACAGTTTGCCGTAAGTGTGAAAATCCGAAAATTGTATGGTTTACTACACAAGTAATTATTGTCGTAAATATATTGTGCTTGGTGTCATTTTAATCAGAAAAACGAAACGAATACGATTGTAACAGTTTCACTCACGAGAAACCAAAAACAATCTTCATTTTTGAAGTTAAAAAACGGACCACGCACGAGTCTTTCATGTTTCCCGAACCTCAATCTCTCTTTGTTTTTGCGTTGCTATCCTTTTCTACGTTCGGCTCACTACAAAGCATGTAGTACCTATTGTATAAATGTGAAACTCCAGAGCCGAAAATATTTTTACACCTCACTATTTTTATCTCATTGCAGATGAGCCAGCGGCAACGGAGGCGACTGGCGGCCGCGTTGCGGCAGGCGGCAAATTTGATGCCGCCGTCGCATCCGCCGAGACAGACGGCGCCATGGTGATGACGGGGCCGGGGCCGGGGTCGGGGACAGGGCATCCCCAACTGCCCAATACACACCAAATATTTTGCAATAAACCATTATAATTAATTACATCTACGTTATTTGCATGCGTAACCTTACCTTAGAATGAAGTCTAAATAAATAAGTAGAAATTAAATAGAACAATATAGGCTAAAAACTGGAATTTAAGTAATTTTAAATACATTCAGTATCAATAAAAATGATATATTAGGTACAGTAATAAAATTCATTTATTAATTAATTTTACGTCGTAGTCGGTTATGTGTTGGAATGTAAGACACTCCTCGAAGTAAAAAATTGGGTGACAGGTTAGGAGTCCTGCCTCGTAATCTCTACACCTTTGTCGCAGATTCGAGCCCTCTCAATGTGGTTTTTTACCATGTTACGTTTTTCATTTTATTTCGTTTGTAATTGTGAAATTATAAATAAATGTGGTGGTCGGTATTTGATATTCAATTTTATTTATATTCAATTGTATTTTTAAAAGACAAACGTTCGTTATTCATTCCATAATCAAATCTGAATTCAAAACCACATATTTTATAATCAATTTCAATCAATCAGTTATTTTTGAAAGTTATAATTAATTGACTAATTTTAAATATAGAAAAGCACTCTCTATATAAATGTAGCATGTGGCGTCATCTTGCAGTGCGAGCAATGCATTTCGTTAGAATAAGAAATAATTGAAAAATGCACCTCCTTCTTCTTGTTCGTGAAATGAAAACGAGCGCGGCATGTAAATTGGTGCATGAGAAAGTTATCCCGGCATTATTAATTAATCTTAAAGTTAATATGTGTACTCTTTATGTTTAACATTAAATAATTAATTTGTAATTGGAAGTGTGTTATTAGTATTTGATTTTCTCCGATCCTGATTATTTAGCAGTAACAATATTAAAATAAATTCAAAGTGTTTTTAAATAATTGTTATTTACAACATATAAAACACCTACAATTAATAGTATACATGTACAATAATATTTAATACATGTAATAGAGATCCTAATCACGTACAATATTAACTACGTATTATAAAAATAAAAATCGAAATAGTGAGGCAGGTTATGACTGTTCAAGTGTTGTGTACAAATGCAATTCCCCTTCCAAAGAGACGTTTCTTCGCAGTGAAGAATGAGTGTGTCATCAGGATGAATTGTGTCGTTGACGACAGTTCTGTATCGGCTATTGCCACGAAAGAATAAAATAAAGAAGTATAATATTCTAAACGTGCTCACTTCACAATAGTCGATAGAAAAGTGAATTAAGAGCAGGGTATAACCGATTTAATAAATGATTTTCAAACTTTGTCGTAGATTGGCTCTCCATAAAGATAAAAATTTGATTGCTCTTTATTTTTAACTATTATTCTTATGGTATCACTTCGTTAATTTATTAGTATGTTAATTTCATTAATTGTTCGTTATAATATCTTATTCGTTTAAACAGGAATAATGATATGTCATAGCAAAAGATCGGGATAATAGTTAAAAAAAAACATGAAAAATAAATAATTTATTGTTATATATTATTTATGGAATTAATATTTTTTGTTTGCACATGATACATCTGAAAAGAGAATATACTGATACGATTGCTATCATCCATTAGTTTTAATGCAAACTGTTTTTTAATAGTTGGCCTTTTTACCAGTACTGTCTGGGGTGCCATATGTAAATGCTAAAATGCTAACTAAACGCCAAAAATACTTTGCGAAATATTACTCACAGAACTCAAGTCTAGTGCGGAACGAATCTCGACTTTGTAATTTTGTCAAAAGCAATTTTATGAGCTGGAAACTAAAATTTTTTATAGAAGAAAATTTTTCACGTCCCATTTTTCCAAAATCGAGCTCAGTACCGACCTAGATAAAAGTTCTGATGATAGTATGTAAATGAAATCATGTCGAAACATTACTTTTTCGCAGAGAACTTTTGGCTTTTGGTATTCGTGTTTTTGGTAACTTCATATTTACCATCATTGTCCCTCCTAACCAAAAACACACATAAATAGACAAGGAAGTCGACGAACTTCTGCAAATCACCGCATGAGAGCGTTAAACTCGCACCTACTAATTTTTTCGGGACCAGTCACTCAGCGATTCGTCCACGCGCTGAGCGCAACAGCTGGTTGTATACTTTGTATTGCGTTTGGGCAGGGAGACCAATAAACACGTTGTAATACTTTTAATAACAATTAACTTTATTTAATAACGGTGTGAACGAGACGTAGACAAAACGTAGAATGACGCCAACGCATGACCGAGCGGGAAGACGCGGTGTAAAACAATTGCCAATCAAATTACCGCGCGGTTTTCGCTCGGTACCGTTTGGGTGTCCCCGGCGATCTTCGTGATCGCGTCGCGTAGTCCGCTCGTGGGACTACTTCCCCAATCGCGTATATAACACTCCCCCTACTTATGAATACCAATCCTCGTGTAACAAAAAATAAAAATTATAAGTAAACGTAATATAATGCAATTATCTCTTTTCTAGTAAATAATAGTCCTCGAAACGTTTTGGTAAATTCCTCGTACGTTCAGGACGCGTATTTGAATTTATAGGTGTACTTTCTGTAATCGGTTCAGGGGAATGTTGAGGGGTGGATGTAAGGAATGAATTTCTAGGTGTAGAATAATCAGAATTTTCTAATGTGGTTTCAGGCTGAGTATGAGAATGAGATTGAGAATGAGAAGATGGAGACGGTGTATTTACTTCGCTCCTAAATCTAACGCTTGTATTCGCATGTGTATTTTCTTTTCCCGTTCCATTTCCCGGAGTATTAACTATGGTTTCACTATCAGTTAATTCGGAACTCGCATTTTCTGGACAATTGTTCCCTGTGTTTCGGATTGTATTCCCTGTCATATCGGTCGGAGGAATATTGTCTTCAAATTGAATATAATCTTCGCTCCTAACTGGTGTATTGTCCCCTATCGGTCTCAACTGATTAACATGACGTTTTCAAATACGCCCGTCATCCAAAAGTATATTGTAATGTAAGTCGCCCAGTTGCTTTAACACTTTTCCGAAAACCCATTTAACATTTTCTATGTAATTTCGACAACTGACTCTCTTTCCCTCCTTGAAAATAATGGAGGGCGTGTATGATCTTTCTTTTGTGACTGTAGGACGTAATAAATCTAATCTCGTACGTAGTTTTCTCGAAAATAATAATTCCGCGGGTGATATTCCTGTTTTCGCATGTGGCGTATTTCTGTACTGTATTAACAATTGTTGTAACGCTGGTTGTATATTCGTACGATCCGCTTTCATTCGCTTTAACGAATTCTTTAATATTTGTACATAACGCTCTGCCTGTCCGTTTGTGGCAGGATGGTATGGAGCAGTGAGCCTTTGCGTAATTCCATTTACTTTTAGGAAATCTGTAAATTCCTTCGAAACAAACGCTCTCCCGTTATCGGAGACCAAGTACTGGGGCAGACCGTAAATTGCAAATATTTTTCTACAAATTTCTATCGTAACTTGTGAGTTTATATTATTACCTACGTGTATTTCTGGCCATTTAGTGTATGCATCTACCAGAACAAAGAAATAATGCCCTAAAAATGGTCCTGCAAAATCTATGTGAACTCGCTGAAACGGAACGTTAGCTGGTTCCCAAATATGGTGTGTAATCTGAGTTGGATTATTTTTGTAAGCGTTACATTCGGAACAATTTTTAACTAAATTTTCAATGTCATTATCTATCTTATTCCACCAGACATATCCTCTGGCTAAATGTTCCATTCGGACCACACCAAAATGTCCTGAATGTAATTCTTGTAATTTTCTTTTTTGTAATTTTACGGGAATAACTACCTTATGGTCTCTAAAAATCACGTTGTTGAAAAGCGTAAACTCTGCGAGCGGAACTGAATGAAATCTATTGTTCTTCAAGTCCCCTCGTCCTGTTCGAATGCATTTTAATAATTTAGACAATTCTTTATCTTCTAATGTAGCTTGTGCAACTTGTTCTGCTGTAACCGGCAATATATTGAATGTAGCCTTGTGGAATTCGTCAATTGTATCGCATTCGTATGTATCGGTAGCTGGAATTGGAAGCCTAGATAAGCAATCTGCATTTGCATGTAATTCTGACTTTCTATATTGTATATCATAATTAAAACTTTGTAAAAATAACGCGTAATGCTGCATTCTCGCGGCTGTAAATACTGGCAAACTCTTAGCGGGTGAAAATATTTGTGTAAGCGGACGATGGTCTGTAATTAATGTAAATTTAGATCCCTGTAAATATTGGTAAAACTTTTTAATTCTGAAAATTATTGCAAACGCCTCTTTATCGATTTGTGCATAGGCCTGTTGCGCTTTTGACAATGTCCTTGACGCGTATTGTATAGCTTTTTCTGAACCGTCCGGAAAAATATGCGAAAGAACTGCTCCAACTCCATATGGGCTTGCATCTGTCGCCAATGTAACTGGAAGTTTAGGGTCGAAATGTACTAAATATTAATGTACTAAACATCGCGGACTTGTAAAAGCTTTCTTCGCGGCTTGAAAACTTTTTTCGCAGTCGGGAGACCATTCATACTTTACTTCCTTTTGTAATAATGTATTCAACGGTTTCAAAATTGAACTTAAATTCGGAATGAATCGATCGTAGTAATGTATCATGCCCAGGAAACTTCTCAATTCTGTAATATTTGTGGGCCTTCGCACGTTATTAATTGCCTCTATTTTATCTGGCGCTTTATGTATACCGCTTTTATTAATTATGTAACCACAATATTGTATTTGATCCGTAAAGAACTCGCTTTTATCTACATTAATTCGTATATTGTATTTTTGTAATCGCGTGAAAACTGTCGTAATTTTTGTAAATGGTCTCTCGAATCTACGCCTGCAATACGTATATCGTCCAAAAATACTACGACACCCGGAATATCTTTTGAAATATTTTTAATTGTGCGTTGCCAAATCGCTGGCGCTGATGCCACTCCGTACATTAGTTGCGTCGGTTTGTACAGTCCTTTGTGTGTATTGATTGTAAGTAATTCGCGGTCCTCCGGTCGTATTTCTAACTCTAAGTGTGCTTGTAATAAATCAATTTTTGAAAATACCGTACCGCCCGCCATTTGTGTTAAGAGTTCGTCTGGCGTCGGTAACGGGTGCTTGTCGATTTTTAATCTTGGGTTTAATGTAACGCTGTAGTCCTAGCATAACCGTATCGTACCATTCTTCTTTAGAACGGGCACGATAGGTGTAGCCCAATCCGCGCAATCGATTTTTTCCAAAATTCCTGTATTTACCAGTTTCTCCAGCTCTTCCTCTACTTGAGCTCGTAGGCGAAACGGTACCCCCCTGGGTTTGCAAAATACCGGATGAACGTTATCTTTTAGATTTAATCGCGCTTGTATTTTCGAAATTTTTGATACTGTTGGATTCGTAATTTCTCTAAATTCCCGCAATAATTTCTGCAATTCGCCATCAAACGGAGCGGTCCGCACCTTTGTACGCGTTTCTGGAAAATTACGCGTCAGGAAACGTCGCTGAGGAGTGTTTTTCTTTTCTGCCGAAGTGCGCACCAGGGTTCGCCGGCATTCCGCGGTGGATCAAATACTTATTAATTGGCGTTTTACTTGGAATTTCAGAGCATTTGCCATGTGCCACTTTTGCCACGTGCACCACGCATGTGTATATTTCTTAGAAAAATTAATTATTTATCGTCTTTGAGTGCGATTGATTCCGCAGGCAGCTAGTCGGAGCGTGGGGCAAGCCAGCTCGCCCCTGCCTGGGTTCTCACCTCTCCCGAGCGGAGTGGCCCTCGGTGTTTTAGTGAGCACCACCACTCCCGGGCGGATTGGTTACCCCCGGTGCTACGATGGTGTTTTTCATGCCGAAACACTCACGATGCTCGACGAATACGGCCACAGGTTTCCCCGTGCACGTAGGGCTTCGAGGCATGGAAATTCTCCATGCCTGCTGCTCTTGACCAGTCGCCCCCGAAAACCCCGCTAAATTCGTTAAATCTTCTGTATACTTTTAAATTCTCATTTTATGCTCTGAAATGCCTCGTTCGACTAGTTCTATTGGTAACAACGCGTTTTCACATTTTTTGTGATAATTCGCGTTGAGCGTCATGTTCAAAATTCTCGCACATTAACTAGCCGACATAAAAAAATTGTCCACACTATTTGTCACATTTAAATGTAAAATACAACGTAACCGTCGTTATATCCACTCTGTAATATCAATGTTAGTGTGAATCATAATATAAATATCTGCGTGATTTCAAAGTTTGTAAGACTCGAATTTTTTATTTCGTTTACTGTACTATATCAAAGATTTTCAACACGAAAAAACTAATATCAAGCCAATTTTATGCATATTTTTTACAAAACATGAATTAGTAAGCGACTTCTTATATGTGATTTATATTGTGATATATTATAGTTATTCAGTATTGATACACAGACTTTATGTATTCTGTAACGTATATTATTTAGATTTATGAAAGTACTTGATTTTTATAATTTGTTGACGACTTAATATATGGAAAAAAAAGGCTGAAAATAATTTTTATCTGTATAAATTAAAGTTATTAAATAGTCAAATATTGTAATATGTATTTGTTTATATTTGATTCAATTTAACTTTCAATAAAATTTCTACAATTTCCATGATGCTACCCCATTTATTTGATGTTCCACACTTTCCTCTTCTGTTACTTTTTCGAAAGCTTAAGCTCCACGCACTCAACAGATCATAAATTGGTTTAGGCTCACAGTATTAAATATAACAGTATTATGGATAACAAATCAAATGATGAGAGCCTTAAAACAGTTGTACCTTATAAATTGCAAACTTGTAATTTCCAATGAACATATCATTCATATATTATTATATTCCATTATTATCTGATTCAATATTTACAAAAAAGTAGTATTTAACTGTGATAAATCAAGCATAAAAAATATAAATGAAGTATCGCATTTCTTAGTACTATCCGATAATGATTAAAAATCAGCTAAAAAAATCTATGCAATACCATTTTTTCATACTTCATCATAATTCACAGACTGAAATTTATTACAATTGGTCTATCATCAAAGAACTATTCTATATGTTAATAAATACATTGGTAAAAAAAATTTTACTATGTTTAGGAAATACAAAACTTAGCAGACGTTCTATAATGGAGTTAACGTTAAAGTGGTTGGGACGACCTGATTTAGCCAAATATGTGAAAGGAAATCATAATCTTACTGAAACAATGGATACGAAGGACGATCATATAGTTCGTACATTAAAATTTCCAGTGCATAAAGTTTCGAAAAGACATATTTCTAAAAATGATAAACATTCATCGAGAAGTGAAAAAAAGAAGCAGAAACGAGATCCCCATAAACATTCTCAAAGTGTAAGAAAGAAAAAAAGACCTCAAAAAGCAGCAGTAAAACATTCACCTGCGTAAGGATTTTAGCTGTACCATTTGTTATGATAGATTCGTTATATTACATAATCAGCTAACTAGACTGTAAGTTATAATTTCGAAAAGTATATTACCAATCAGAAATAATTATTTAATAAGGTAATAACCATTCCAATTTAAATTTCATGAATGAACGAAATGGTTAAACCTAACGCGTACTAAAATTTCATATTATGATTCAAAAATGACCTGTTCAAAAAATTGTTGGCTATTATTTGTTTCTTTTATTTCGAAGTTCATAGCTTATGCCTGAAAATCTATTTTCTTACCGTTAAAGTTCCTCCTTTTGCTATCGCATCAACAGTAGAGTATTGTATCTCAAGAGAATTACATAGTCTGATTTGCATTATAAAATGGGATAAATTTTATATGTAAACGTCACGAATATAATTGTAAAATGGCATCTTTGCCTATAACTTGTAAAAGAAGAAATAAAAAAAAATTAAAAAAAAAGAATCGGATGATAAACCCGAAGGCTTATAAACATACCGGGTGTTTTACAACTAGTACAGGTCCCTGAAATGGTAGGTGAGGTCATTCTAATTTCCCTTTGCAAAAATTCGTTTTGATGCTTCGTTTTTAAATTATTAAGGAAAAACATGGACCAATCAAAGCGCGGGTATTACGTGATCAAGCGCTTTTGCTTCGAAACAGTCTAAATGCCTAAAGAAAAGACCTTACATAAAAACTCGGTTAAATAACGAACAAAATAATTAAAAATTCTGTTCATTTATTTTTTTCTCATGAAGAAGGAACGGAATTAGTTATGTGTAATTAATAGAAATTATGCAAATGAAATTTCTTGAATACTGGCATTCGTTATCTACAAAGGATGTGTAGTAAAGTTTGGCAACAGGTACAAAACCTGATGACATGCACAGTTAATTGCAATAACTTCAGTCCACAACACGCTTACTTTCACCCTTACATCCCTGCAAGTCTATTGTTGATAGCTTCTAAAGGAAGCTATTGTTCCTTCAGTTGTCTGGTATATGGCCCCGAAAGAGGTCGACTACTTTTATATAACCACGATTCGTCCTGCGATTAATAACATACATTTGTTAAATATCTGGCTATGGGGTGGGGAAAATTCAGGTGTTTTTTGGAAAGAAAATTATGTTTCATCCGTAAGCATTTTTTGGAGAACTGCCCGATAGTCACCATCGAAATGTCTCCGGAAGGAACGAACGCAGAACTTTACAATATTTTCTTTATTTACGCCCAGTGAAGTGGGAACGCGGAGCTTATTGCCCAACGTTACGCAGAAAAGTATCGTAGTGCGAATCCTCCCAATGCGAACTTTATTCGCAGATTAGCAAACAGATTGTAATCGAGTGGCTTGTTTCACCCTACACGATCTGATGCAGGGCGTTCGTGCCAGATTCTTACAGTACGAACGGACGAGGTAGTCGAACAGTTCCACGAAGATGGAACGTCAAGCATATGAGACGTCGCACGCCGCTTAGGGTAAGTAATGTTAAAAATATTCAAACGTTAATATTAAAGTATCCTTTTTCATTTATTAATACATTTCTGTATTTTATTTCAGTATGCATCGCTTCGCGGAACATCACATTCCTCAGGAGAACGAGATGCACCCGTATAAGTATGTACGGGTTGCAACATCTTAATTCTGGCGATTTTGCACAGCGAATGCAATTTTCGCAATCGATCTTGGGGAAAATCGAGCGGAATCCATCGTTCCCCTCATGTGTTTTTGGGGACATATGAGGCCCTTTTCACAAGAGAGGGGTGTTTCAATGCCCACAACTCGCATGTGTAAGACGTCGAGAATCCGCTTGCGATTCGTCCAATTCGTTTTTGGTCTGCGCAAAACCGCAGGTCTGTCAACGTATGGGCTGGCATTTGCGGGGATTTTATCGTTGGACCGTACATTATGCCAAACATATTGGACGGTCCTTCGTATAAAATTTTTGTAGAACGTGTTCTTCCAACTCTGTTGGAAGATATTCTATTAGAGATTCGGAGGAACATGGTTTTGCAACATGATGGTGCGCCTGCCCATTATGCCGCTAATGTCAGGTCGTACTTGGACAAAGCCTTCCATGACAGGTGGAAGTTGCGTGGTCCCCAAGATCCCCGGATTTGAATCCACTGGACTTTTTTTTCTGGGGATTCTTGAAAGAATGATAACTATTCACAATTAACGATTGATAACAATTATTTATTAACCAACTTCGAGGAGGTTTTGTATTTGATTCGTATGTATGTTTGTCTGCGATATCCTGTTAAACTAATGAACCAATTTTTATGGTTCTTTCACTGTTACAATCTACATATCTTAAGGAATGTTTAAGTATATAATACTTTATATTATTATTCTTATATACACAGTTATATCCGTATATGTACACAAACTTCATTCATATTTTGGATGTGTAGGCCTGTATATTTAGTATTTCTTACGGATTTTTACTTATATCTCTTCCTAAAGAATTATAAAATGCTAAACCAGTCTTAAATAAAAAAAAGAAAAATAAAAAAACCTCAAAACTGAAAAGTACCTTATACCTACAAAAATAGTTTTTTTTTTTTTAAGAAAAATGAATCGCCTTCAAATAAGAACGAAGAAGTGGGAAATAATTAATTTATACAGATTGCGCTGTTATATTTTAATTTGAG